AGAGAGACTTCCCGCACCCTCCGCTGGCTCACGAAGCAGGTCCCAAAGTCCACCCAGCTGGTGGAGAGCTGGAGTTCGGGCACAGCCACCACGGCCTGCAGGGGCACCACCTGGTGGGACAGCCATAGCCAGGCAGGGCCGGGCCACCTGGCCCATTCCAGCCTCCAGCTGGGCTCTGAGCTGCGGCTCTGGGACACGGAACCTGCCTACCCCGAGCACTGAATCTTCTGGGGACAGCAGGGGCAGCACCGTGGGTGTGAGGGGGGTGAGGGGTGAAGGGTGGGAGTGGCAGCTGGTGACAGGGCCGGCTGGCACCATCCGCTCCCAAACCCTCCCTGGGCCATTCCTTCACACGGCTCACCTGCAGCCCCCACGGGGCCTCCCTCGGCCCCTGCAGCTCAGCCTCCTCTCCAAGGTGGGTGACCTGCTCCATAATGCTCGCCCGGGTGCTCCACGCCCCACGGGAGCCTGAGAGTGTCCCTCACAGCTACCTCACTGTCCCCGCCCACTAGGCAGTTCCCGTGGCCTGTCCATGTGGCCTCCCTTCTCCCTTGATTCAACAGTGTACGGGCTTCACCTGCCACCTCCTCCACCGGGTCTTCCCTGATCTCAGCCACAGCCCTCACCTGGCCCTGAGCGCCAGCTGGCTCTGTCTGCCCTCTCCGCGGCAGGGCCCCTTCCAGAGCAGATTGAGACCCTGGGCCTACTGGGGCTCCCCGTCCTAGGGCTCTGCCGTCTTTGTCCTCCACGGCCCCAGCAGAACAGAACCAGATGTCTCCCACCCTCCCCTCCCCCTGCGGGCCCGGACTCACCTGCCTGGTCTGGTTGGTGTAGTCCAGGAGCAGTTCCTGGGCGAACACCATCTCCTTCTCCCCGCGGGCGCTCTGCCGAATGGCCACTCCGGGCAGCATCTGGTCGGCCGGGAGCTTCTGGTAGGAGAGCAGCTCCAGGGACAGGGAGAAGGCCACGTTCACCTGAGCAGGGGCGCCGGGGTCACCCCAGGCTGCCCTGAGCGGGCGGCTGCTCCCCCGCCCGGAGCTCCTCTCCCTCCCCCACCAGGCCCTGCAGGCCCAGCCATCCCCACCCCGCAAAGTGCACGGGAGCACCCCCGCCGGGCACATCCATTCCATATCCTGCCCAGCTCCTCCATGCCAGGCACCTGGCAGTGTCGGGGACAGTTGTCCCCGTCCTTGGGAGTCAGGGGAGGGGAAGAGACAGGGCACGCCCCCTCACACCTAGCAGGACCTGGGCTGGGGCTGGGGCTGGGCTCCCAGGCGAGGGACCTTCATTTCCTTCTGAGGAGTCAGGAGCCAGTGACACGTTAAGGTGGGGACATGGGGTCAGCTTTGCTTTCCACAGAGATCCCGGCTCCCTGGGGAGGTGGCTAGGGAGGACCCCAGCAGGCTCTGAGACCTGACTCAGGCTGAGCAGCTGGGGCTTGGACTCCCGGCTCCTGAACGTGGGTCCTTGGTACCAGCCCATCAGAAGCCACTTGATTAAAAACACAGTGCCCTGGCCTCGGCCCAGACCTTTGCAGCTCCACGAGTGCGGCCTGGCAGCTTCTTTTTTTCCTTTTTAAGAGAAGTTTTTGCTACAGGGCACGTGCGCTCCCCACAGAGACAGAGAGATAGAGAAACAGAAAGTGAGAAATCAACCCCCCAGAGGGGATGGCCACGCCGCAATCCCTTCTCCTCCATTCTCCTCTCGGGATCTTGGGCATGCATGCACACACGCCCAGCGTGAGTTTAAGCCACCGGGTCCGGGACTCGAACCGCAGTCGACTACGTGGTAACCATTATGCCACCTGCTGGCCCTGGCAGCTTGTGTCTGTAACAAGCATTCTGAATAACGCTGTCCCAGACCAAGACTTAGGCCTGAAGACTAAGGCTGTGCTGAGGCTTAGGTGGGCGTCCACCAGGCTGGGTGGCTGGTCAGAGAAGGTTCTAGGACGAGGAGCAGCTGCGCTCTGGCTTGAGCACGGGGTAAGGGTGCACCTGCCGACACGCAGTCACCGCGGAGAGGTAGCGCAGGGCAGGGCAGGGCTGGGAGCGGTGATGGGAATTCAGTTTGGACAGGTGGAGTTTGAGCCAGGTTCCTGGGCACTGCAGCACAGGGAGGGGCTGGGCAGTGCCGTTAAGCCATGGCCTTTCTCTGGGACTCTGGGCTTCCCAGAGCTGTCGGAGGTCTTTCAAAAGCCCCTGGAGTCTGCAGGGAAGCTCGCGTGGAAGGGGGCCTCCGGTGTGCGTTTGGCTTTCCCATCAGCATAGCTCCCTGTACGGGGCTAACGCGGCGTGGGGTAAGCATGGCCTTCCTCTGTCACCTGCAGATGGGTGCCTGCCTCCCTGGCGCCATGACGAGGTCCTGGGGGGAGCCCATCACTAGCGCATTCGGCTGGTGTGGAGGACAGCATTGACTCAGGACCTGCGCCCGGAGTACACCCCACCCACGGGGCACACACAACACGGGGCGCGCACAACACAGGGTGCGCACAACACGGGTCACCCAGCATGCCTTTGGAAGACAGAACATGGTGCTCGCGGAGGCTCTGGCAATGGGAGGTGAGCCAGGAGCCCGAAGAGTGAGCAGGAAAGGAGAGGAAGAAGGAGGGCCTCCGGAGCCATGGAGGTGGGAGAGACGGTGTGACCCCAGGCTGGCTGGCTGTCCTTGGCCTGGCCGTGCCCACTGGGGAGCCCACACCTGGCCTCCACAATGCCCGCAACCCATGCTCAGCCCATGCGCCTCTGGGGCCAACAGAGGTGGCAGTTAGTGGTTCCCTGTGAGGCCCTGGCACCCCCAGGACCCCCAGCTCTGAAAACATTGTGATCGCTGGTCCCCAGCAGACGACAGAAGGCAGGGCATCATCTCCTACTTCGCAGCGGCTCCCTTCTTCCAAGGGCTAAGCTGAGAGGCAGGCCCAGAGCACCAGAGGCCCCCTCTGCCCAGGTTGAAACCCCTGGGACCTGGATGGATGGCAATCCTAAACTGGAGCACCAAGCCCGAGTGCGTGCCAGCGAGGGCACACGAGAAGGGAGGGGCTCGTGGGGATACGTCGGCAGTGGAGACCGTGAGAGGAATCTGGATGCATCTCTGGAGTGTGTGTGTGTGTGTACACTATGTGCATGCATGTGTGAGCCACCTGCTCAGGTGGGTGCTGGAAGTGGCATGTCTGGTGGGAGTGTGCGCAGGGTTGTCTGTGCTGGGCATGGTGGGGCAGAGGTACGGTTCCTGCCTGGTCCAAACGTGGCCACAGGAGGTGCCCCGCTGTGTGTACAGACACACGAGTGGGCAGTCAGGACAGGGGCCGGCGAGCCCCCACTGACCAGCATGTTCTCCTGTGGACGGAGCTCCAGCAGCTGGCCCGCGGAGGTGGTCTCCTGCTCACAGTCCTGCTCCGGGCCTGGAGCTCGGCGGCCCCGCCCGGGCCCCGGCGGGGAAAC